AGATACCGTTCGGGACAATGGTTTTTCGGGCCATTGAGATTTCGGGCCAATGAGTTTTCGGGACAGTGGGCTGTTAGCCGACCTATAGTCGCTGTGCGACCGTCCTCTCTAACTACTCGTCACACACTGTTACATCATACACCCCAACATCCATCTAACACCTCACACGTCCATCTAACACCTCGAACTTCAAACGTCCATCTACACCTCCGTGTGACCACGACACTCTGGTCGAAGGGAGTTCCTTACTAAAATTCAGGGTACGTGTCCTGAGCTAAGTTTCTGACCGGCAGGGCTGATTTTCCGTAGGTACATCCCTTTGACCTCGGATCACTCAGGGAGCCCTTATGACATGACATCCACAGAGTATGGATGCTTACGAGAATCAAGAACGAGGAGCATCGGTCTCCCTTCCAAATCCACAGTGTAGTATGGAGGCTTACGAGAATCAAGAACGAGGAGTATCGGTCTCCCTCCCACATTCACAGAGTATGAATGCTTACGAGAATCAACACCAATGAGCATCGGTCTGCTTCCACCTCCACAAAGTATGGTTGCTTACGAGGATCCAGACCGAGGAGCATCGGTCTCCCTCACGCATCCGTCATGCAATGAGATGGAGTGGGCAAGATCACTCCACAATGGAGGCAAAAGAATAAAAGTCGGGATTTCTTATGATCATGTGATCATTTAGATGAGGATGACTGATAAATCTCATTTTATTACATGAAAATTGGCTCATCGGGCATCTTTCTCGGTATCATTCATAGTTATTATTATGTATATTATTCTGTATATAAAATAACAATGAGTGAATCAGTGAGCTCCCGCCGCGTATGCAGAATCATCGTGATCCGCAGCAGCGAGCATCTCGTCGTGTTTCCTCTTTCGTCTGCGATTGGAGATTCGTGACTCCTTCACGTCCTGTCTTCCGCTCCTTTCCGCTCTCCTAATCCTCTTCAAATCTAAGGACCTCATAGTTTGTACACAGAAAGGTCCTGGCGTGATTCCGCCAGCTTCCAATATTCGACAAAGAGCCATCGTTGAATTCGGAGACGGCAATGTGGACGCCTGTCTTGAGCTTCGGAAGTGATACGAAAACCGTTTTCGGTAGTTTCGTCCCGATGAGATGATTCGCGCACTCGTTCGGATTCTGTGTTTTGCTATGCAGGCCCTTGTGGAGCAAGCGCACATCGGAGAGTTCCTCGAACATTGTCCGAAGCTCTCCCATGAGGCAGCGTGGCCAGTCCTGATGTAGATTGTGGTCGTAATCGTGAGGTATTTGAAAATACTTGCACCAAGGAATTTCCTCTTTGAAAACAGTTTATTACCAAGTCTTCGGTAGTAAAGTGATTATGTTCAATTGTCCAGATAAATATCGTTTGAGCTTTTACAATGGTAAATATGATACAGGGAGCACTTCATTCCACAACTTGAGCACACACAGTCTTCCGATGGTTCGTGCCAACCGCCCCTACTGCAGAGCAGGTGATGGAATCCGTGGGTTGCGCCTCTGGTGAGGCGATGACGGTTTTTGAACTTTGCTTTCTTCCAGACATCCGTCTTCATGGCTGGGGTTCGATAGAATTCCGGGTCAATTTCGGCTAGCTTCGAGTGCCACTTTTCTAGGTGCTGTCTGTACGCGGTGGTCGGCACCAAGGAATTTCGCAAAGTGTGTGATCGGGGGATTCGTTCGATGACTGCAGGTGCTTGAAGATGGCCCAAACGGCCCTTCTCATCTTTCCGGAATCTGGTATTCCCTCGTATCGCGTTCCCGTAGTAGCTCTGAATTCTGTCGATTGTCTCATCTGTCAGGCGGTTTTTCCCTCTCATCGGCTTTCCGTTTCTTTCCTCGAAATGCCGCTTTCAGTTTCCTGAGTCTTGTCCCAATGCGCTTCTAAATGTGCCCGACGCACTCTGGTTTTCCGATCTCTACCCCGCTTCCGTATGATTAGTCGGATAATGCAGTATTGTCAGCCTCGGAGGGCCTCCTCGTCGGTATCCCGGCGATGACTCGATCGGCTGTCCCGGTCAAGCAGGATAGCTTGCCATTGTTCGGTCAGAACGATCGCAGCGCATTCACATTGGGGTATAGTTGGCCTCCCGGAAAATTGATTTGCACTTTGGTGAACTTCGAGATTCTGGAATAAGCCATCATAAGGGCTATCGCAGGGGGAAATTCCGTGGAATTCCTTTGATGAACGGACGCTCGGAAGAGACAAGGACGACTCGAGCTTGGTTTGCGCCTCCTGAAGACTTTTCCGCTCTACACAGGCATCGCTGTGTACTGGAAACGATAAACAGAAACATTATAACTATATTGATTTTGACTTTGGTTGATGACCTTCGGAAAAAATGCTCCGAAAATTATTCGACGTCAGCTGCTTCGAGGTGGAGCGCCGCGAGCTCGTTTCGGACGAACCGGTGGTGAGAAGCCAGTACAAGATACCGGCTCACTATCAGGAAGAGGCTAAGGTGACGCTCGTGGAGATGGTGGACACGGGAATAATCGAGGCGGCGATTTCGACCTACAGCCCACCGGCCATGATGGTACTGGAGAGAATTAGCAAAGAAGTGCGATTGGTGATTTCCGAGAATTGAACGCGGTCACGATGGACGACCCGTTTCTTATTCCGGATATGATCGCGGTGGTGAACAACGAAATTGTCTTTTCCCATCATACTGTACGCTGCTGTCAAGTCTAATCGCGAAGTCGCGTCGCAATCTCGCTGGAGAAAACGCAGTGTTTTTTTCTCTCAGCTCTCAACTCGATTCACGGCGATGCCGCGGAGCAAGAAAATTTTCCGGAGTCGCAAGCCGTCATTGAATCGGCGTCGAGTGTCTGCCTTACCAGTAAATTCCGAATCCGAGCCTCCAATTATCCAACCGCCCTCCCCCCCCGGTTGATCTTCTCGAATCCACCGTATCGACCGTCCCGACGAATCGCGGTCCTGAAGCGGAAACGACAGACCACCAGAGTTCCGCCATCAAGGTGCGCTCTCACCTCACCGCGTACGACGCTTACGAGGGTGGCAAAACTTTTGATCTGATCGATGTCAGTGGCTTGAACAGTCTCCTTCAGAAAATTGCTTGCTGCAACAGATGCCATCGATGCCTAGAGATGTCAGTGGTGAAACGAGAAGGAATCGCTGTATAAGTCGACGTACTCTGCAACTTCTGTCGGAACAGAGCGACGTACAAGAACGCGGAGAAAATTCGTATCGATGGGGAAAAGAGCCGGGTCAATGACATCAACGTGCGCATCGCGCATGCGTTTAGGAGCATCGGGAAGGGCGCGTCGGCAATGAGAATGTGCTGCGGCCTGATGGACATGCCGAACGCCTGCCATCGATACGAAAAATTCTCGAAGTTATCGAGTCAAATGACGGAGAAAGTATGCAGTGAATCAATGAAACAGGCAGCGAAGGAAACCGTAATCCTGAATGATGAGTCGACTGATATTGCGGTTGCCCTTGATGGCTCCTGGCAGAAACGGGGACTCACTTCTCTAAACGGGCTAGTCAGAGCAACTAGTTTCGATACGGGCAAAGTGATCGACGTGAGCGTTCTCTCCAAGTATTGTAGATGTCCTGGCAAGGCATCCAACATTCACAATGAGAACCGCTACGCGAATTTTAGGTGTGAGTGGGGCGATGGAAATTGTGGCACACTGTCCTAAAACAATCACTCAATGAAGACGCTGGAGAAATCACGAAAGAAAGTTGGGAAGCGGGCGCTCTATGCTTGTGATGATTGTTGAGTTCGCTAGCGGGTCTGATCCCAGGCCTGGCCACTAACTTCACTTCACGGGGATTTGAGCCCCTCGGGTTGAATGGATTCTGAGATTCCAGAAGTAGCGGTACGTGGACCGCTCTCTTGATCTCTGACAGACTGTGTGTGTATTCGTGTGTGTGTGTGTGGATCGACGATCGACTTCTCCGTCAGCCGGTTGCTTGACTGTTGACTGTAGCGCCGTGAGCGGGAGAAGTTGGCATGAACGATCCGCGCTGCGCTGAATGGGTGTTTTTTTATCTGAATGCGTGGCCCGACTTCCTATGGATTTGTTCTTATCTCTCCTGGAGATATAATCGATGCTGATATGATAATAATA